TTCATGAAAAAAAAAAAAAAAAAAAAGAAAAACGAGTGAAATCACTTTCTAATATGTTGCTAAGTCGGCTGTGTGATTCTGCGACTATTATTGTGAAAGAAATAGTTCTAGAACGGGCACATATGTACATGAATACACACCCACGTACGGGGCACACTATTAGATTTCGTAAAAAGCAAAATTAGAGCAAGTTCAAACAAGCAAACCGGATAAATGCAAGTGATGCAGGGTAATAGCGAAAACGCAGAAATAACATATAGAGCCTTTTAGACAGCCGGTTCTGTCGAGCATTTTTCCAGCCTGGTGGTGCGTACTTCTCAAGACGCTGATGGCCTTCCAGGAAAAAGTGTTCTCCATCTATAAATGTGAAAAAAGAAATAAAGCAGATTGCAATCGCATCCTGTTTTCAAGAATCAGCAATAACACCTGGTACAAACTACAGCACAAGTGACTGGCACAATTCTGCGGGCACAAATTACTAGTTAACCGCGAAAGCCATCACACTACAGTGCCTTTTCGGCAACAGCTACTGATGCGAACTTAATTCGGTTAATATAGAAAACGCTCGCAGCAAGTGAAATCGAGCACCTCTCAGAATTGTCAAACCGAAGAATGAATTCTCGTTAAAATTCATATGCCTCATCACAACATCCGCGATTTCGGACGTAACAGCATCCGAACGGCAGCTAACTTCGACCAGTTTTCCATTCAACAGCTCCACAGTTACATAGGTATGCTCTACCCGATGCAAAGTGACTTTTCTCTGCAACAAAAACCCAACTGCTTATAACTGCCAAGAGGTTAATCAGATTTATCACTGCACTGTGTGAGAGCTTTGCCAAAACACTTTCACTCTGCATATGAAACAGAGGCATTCGAAATAGCCTGCATGGCATACTTGGTTGACAAAACAACCATCCGTTGGCAAGAATGTCATCAGTTCTTCTCCGTTGTGGGCTGTTTAATGAACAACTAAAGGCGGCTTAAATCATCGGTATTTTTGGATCGGAAGTGTCAATTTATTATCGAAAGGAGTTATCCAGCTATAGAAGGTTTAACGGCTTTTTTTTTTTTTATTTTTTTCCAGCTAACGAATTCCAAAAAAAAAAAACAATCTGAAGTCGACAATAAATGTCACCTACTGATAAATTGGGCAAGGCAGTTTAAGAGGCCTGCAGTTAGGCAAAAAATTACTTTTCGAAGAGCTGGTGCTTTCAGACATATCGATGGCGCATCCTGGTTTGCGAATAATTCCGGTTCTGCTTTTGTCTGAAAAAAAAAACACGTATGAGCACAATTTGAAAAAACGAAAATAAAAAATCAATATCGTAAAACCTTCCAGTAAGTGAATCCTACAGTGGATGACCAGAAAATGTAAACTTTTGAAAGAAGAGCAGTGTCTTACTTTTCGTTTAAGATGCCTTGACGAGGAAATTTTTCGTCCACTTATTCGATGAGGCAAAAGCGAATTTCGTCTCACAAACTGTGGCGCTGAAAGCAACAAAATTACAGCCAACGCAAGAAACTTCACCCCACCAGTCAATCAAGGAGCGTTTTCTGAATGAATGTATTACAGCAGTGAGTTCCAGCGCAACCCATCCCATCATGACCAGTACGACGAACACAGCCACAGAGAAAACAGTAAGGCAATGAAAAGATACCATCAGAATCCATAGGGGTTTCGGTTTCCACGGCCTTCTCGTCATTTTTACGATCCAATGCAGCACGAAACTTCCCATTTCCTTGTATGGCACGTTGCATCCGCTACAAGAATAAAACCAGTTAGGAAATTACCTACATATCTATTCATTTCATTACGCAGTTTCTCAGCCGCTTACCAGCCTCCAACTCCCTTCGTATTCCAGCACCAAAAAGACACACAAGCATCAATATGTAATGCTCTAACCAAGAATTAGGAATTCGTTCTCAAATGCTTCTCGTATAAAACCTGGGGTGTAACTACCTACGAGACAGTGTTCGAAAAATAACTGCCAATGGCAAATAAACATCAAAACTGATAACGCAACCGACCTCCCGTAACTAATCCTTTACTCAAAAGAGCACCTTTTCTGCGAGGATGCCGTCCTTCTCCTGTTTTCACATCTCTCCTTGGCTGATTATAGCCCACCGCAACATTTAAGTGCTATGTTACTACTCACTGGCCTACCAAGCGTGTTTTCGACGCAAGTTCGTATTCGTGAGCTAATTTCAATGCCTTTATAAGTGAATTTTGGGCGTGCTGCGCCTATCTTGGTCAATTTCGCATTACGGATCACACTGACTGAATTTCATGTCGGTTCGGTTAAATTCTTCATCACCGGCCAAAAATGCTGAGCTTTGTGATATTCTTTTTATGCGTTTTTTGCATCCATGCAATGCAAAAACGCGCAGTGTCGAGGGATTATCTGTGTGTGCGTCTGTATTGATCTTGCATCCCCAGACCTATAAAAGCTACAGGCTGAAATTTGGGAACTTGATCTACATGTTTGCTTGTATGGGCTTCCATCCCCAAAATGGGCGCTCTTACTTCCCAAGTATCGGCTCGTCAAAGTTTTGGGCGGGTAAGCCACTAGCTCAGGAACCAGAAAAGTTAGAAGACAGAAATTTTAGGGGATGCTCCCTGCTCACATAGGTCCTAATGAGTTTAAACCCAGCCCCCGGGTAGGCGCGTAGTTCCCATGTACGGGCTCATGAAAGTTTTTTGTGGGTAAATTACTAACTCGGGTTCCTGAAAGCAAGAAAGCTGAAATTTTAAGGGGATGTCCCACATCTACGCACAATTTAATGACTTCAAATTCAGCCCCAGGTGTGCGGTTCTGTCCGTGAGAACGTACTGTGCGTAAACTGCTAACGTGGGAACCTGAAAAGCTAGAAGGCTGTAATTTTAAGGGGATGTTCCCCGTTCACTTAGGTGCTGATGAGTTCAAACCCAGCCCTCAGTTATGTGTTGTTCCCATGTACGTGCCCATGAAAATTTTTTGGGGGTAAGTTGCTAACTCGGGAACCTGAAAAGCTAGAATGAAATTTTAAGAGGATGTCCCTGCCCACGTAGAACCTAGTGACTTCAAGTTCTGCCCCTAATTAGAAGTGGACCCACGTACGGGCGGATAAATTAGTGGGTAAGTTGTCAACTCGGAAACCAAAGGAGCTAGAAAGCTGTGAATTTATGTGGACGTTTTCAGACAGTCCTGGTGGCCAGTCTTAATTCTCTTAGCTAGAAGATCTGCCGGAAAAACAGTGCCGTTAGCAAAAAAAACCTGCGGGCAGCTATGCAAAAAACGCATCTCTGCACAGGCAACTGGCGTGCTGGCCAATTATTATGCGCTTTGTGCTGTGTAACAGCTGCATAGAACGCATATTGTCAAGAGGTTGTCTGCGTTTGTGTGTATTTGTGTGTGTGCCCGCAACTTTCAACTCCAGAATCACAGAATCTAGGAAGCTGAAAATTTGGGGGGGGGGGGGGGGGGGG